CTCTGCCCAAACTGGCCTTGATCCACACATCTCAGAGTTGCTGACTCTGGTTAACAGGCTCGCAAGAAGTAACTGCATGAGACTATGATGCATAAGGCAGCATAGGATCAATGCATTCCTTTAATGAATATTCATCAAGGGCCTACTATGTGTCAGGCACAGAGTGGGCACTTGGGATACATTAGTGAACAAAAGAAACGAAGGCAGTAGAAGACAGATAATCAGCGATATAATAAATAAGCAAATTACACAGTCTATGAAGAAATCGTAAATGCTCTGGGGAAAAAAGTCAGGGAAGCTGTCAGGGGAGGGGGAACTGGTTGCCGGGTGGTTAGGAAGCCTCATTGAGAAGGTAAGATTTGAGCAAAGTTGTGAGGGAAGTGAGGGATTGATGTGGTGGCTGTCTTGAGTAAGAGCACATCAGGCAGGTGGAACAGCAGGTGCAAAGGCCCTGAGGTAGGAATGTGCCAGGATGCCAGTGTGGCCAGAATGGGTCAGTGTTGGGGAGGGCTCTGAGAGATCAAGAGGGAATTGAGGTTTTGAGCAGAAGAGTGACAAGGCCCGACTTAGATTTAACTTGAGAGGCGCTCACAGAGGCATAAAGGGGGCAGCTGGAAGATAGCTTAGGAGGTGTGTCACTGGGACCTCAGTGACAGCCATTCCTCCTACCCAGGTATGTGGGGAGCAGCACCGCTTTGAAAAGCTGATGGAATATTTCCGGAACGAGGACAGCAACATTGACTTCATGGTGAGCTCAGGAGCCCAACCTGGGCCAGGTCACCCTAGGGTGCCAGGAGCAGTTAGGAGCCTGGGTATCTGGGATCTGGGCTCAGCTCCTGCAGATATGAGGACTGAGTGGTTGGTGGGGGAGGGGTGGATGTCAGTGAGGGGGAGGCTGGGAGGAGGGTACGTGGGAGAAATATGGGTGGGACAAAGCTGGATTAGTGGGGTGAGAAATGTGGCAAGGGTGGGGGACTTGGGGTTAAACTGGGGGGGGCGTGGAAGTCACTGAGAACCCCCCACCAAGAGGATCATAGACCTGCTCACTGCCCCGCCTCCCAGGTGGCCTGCATGCAATTCATCAACATTGTGGTACATTCAGTGGAGAACATGAACTTCCGCGTCTTCCTGCAGTATGAGTTCACCCACCTGGGCCTGGACCTGTACTTGGAGGTGAGCCCTGCACTCCCCCCAAGGCTTAACCACTTGCTTGCTGCAGAGTATGGCTCAGTGGTTAGCACAGATGCCAGGGTCAGGCAGACCTGGGTTCAAGGTTCAAATCCTGACTCTGCCACTTCCTAGCTCATGTGACCTTAGATAGGTCTCTTCTCTCTAAGCCTCACTTTTCCCATCTGTAAGACAGGAGAATCATAGAAATAATAAAGACTGTAAATGTATAGAGTGGCGCCTGCCGCAAAATAGGCACTCAGACCATGGAGCTGTTGTTGCAGGTGCTAGAACAGGCTCTAGGTGGCCCTCGGTCTGGCTCTGGGAGCACCAGACTCAGATAGGCATACGATGGGGAGCACAGAGATACTGGGCCAAAGCAGGAGCTGGCTCATGCTGTATGGGTCTGGGTCATGGGGGAGTTCCTTGCTCTGGGGAAGATGGGCAGAGGGGCTTGGTACTTTGTGGCTCAGCCTGAGCAAAGAAGTTGTAGCTTTCTTCTGATTTCTTTGTGAGGCGTCCCAGAGGAGCAGGGCCTTTGGGATTGGATTTTTGAAAGCCAGGATCAACAAAAGGTGAAAAGCAGGCTAGGGTGATATGTCCATTCAATGGAATATTATTCAGCCACAAAAAGGAGCAAAGTAGTGATACATGGTAGAACGTGGATGGGCCTTGAAAACATTACGCTATTATGCTCAGTGAAAGAAGCCAGACACATAGGCCATATATTGTACGCTTCCTTTATATGAAATGTCCGGAATAGGTAAGTCCATAGAGACAGAAAGATTGGTGGTTGCCAGGGGCTGGGAGAGGAGAGGATGGGGAGTGACTGCTAACAGGTACAGGGGTTCTTTTTGGGGTGATGAAAATGTTCTGAAATTAGATAGTGGTGATGGTTTGCACAACCTTGTGAATATACTAAACACTACTGAATTGTACGCTTTAAAATAGTGAATTTTATGGTATATGAATTATATCTCAATAAAGAATAAAGAAACAAAAGTGGGCTAGGGCTCAGGCCCCTTTGTCTGGGCTCTGGTGGTGATGGGGGGTACTGGAAAGATCCCTCACACCAGGCCTCAACCTGAACCTTCCATCTGGGGACAGAGGCTTCGGCTCACGGAGAGTGACAAGCTGCAGGTGCAGATTCAGGCCTACTTGGACAATGTTTTTGATGTGGGTGCACTGCTGGAGGACACTGAGACCAAGAATGCTGTGCTGGAGCACGTGGAGGAGCTGCAGGAGCAGGTGGCCCTGGTGAGAGCTGCTCCTGAACTTGGCCCAGCACAGAGTAGGCCCACAGAGCCGCACACGGGTATCAGCCACTGGTTCTAGGTGTGAGCTGGGGGCCCCTGAGTTTCACCTGAATCCTCTGGGTGCCTTTCTCAATGGAGGAATGTTCACTGAGCTCCTCCACGGGGCTGGAGCTCTGAGGAAGGCAGGTCTCCTCCTCTCCAGGTGCTCGGACCCCAGGCCCTGGTTTGGGTGGAATTGGGTGCCTGGGGCCCCTGCCAGCTCAGTCTCCTCTCCAGCTCCCTCCCTCATCAGTGGTGCCTTGGTTTCCCCTCCTGAGAGCACTTCAGTGCTCTCAGTACCTCACCTACTTGGGTTCAAGTGCCAGGCTCGGCTGACCCGCGGCACCCCAGGGCTAAGCACATCTGGAAGCCTCCCCTAGCCCTCCAGGCAGGCATGTCTGGTGCCGCCCCCTCGGTGCCCATGCCAATGCCCGTCGGCGGGTGAGAGCTCACCATGTGCTGGTGCCACAGCTGACAGAGCGGCTTCGGGACGCGGAGAACGAATCCATGGCCAAGATCGCAGAACTGGAAAAGCAGCTAAGCCAGGCCCGAAAGGAGTTGGAGACCCTGCGGGTGAGGTTGGGGGGACGGGGGGTTGGGGGTGAAATCGTAAATGCTCTGGGGAAAAAAGTCAGGGAAGCTGTCAGGGGAGGGGGAACTGGTTGCCGGGTGGTTAGGAAGCCTCATTGAGAAGGTAAGATTTGAGCAAAGTTGTGAGGGAAGTGAGGGATTGATGTGGTGGCTGTCTTGAGTAAGAGCACATCAGGCAGGTGGAACAGCAGGTGCAAAGGCCCTGAGGTAGGAATGTGCCAGGATGCCAGTGTGGCCAGAATGGGTCAGTGTTGGGGAGGGCTCTGAGAGATCAAGAGGGAATTGAGGTTTTGAGCAGAAGAGTGACAAGGCCCGACTTAGATTTAACTTGAGAGGCGCTCACAGAGGCATAAAGGGGGCAGCTGGAAGATAGCTTAGGAGGTGTGTCACTGGGACCTCAGTGACAGCCATTCCTCCTACCCAGGTATGTGGGGAGCAGCACCGCTTTGAAAAGCTGATGGAATATTTCCGGAACGAGGACAGCAACATTGACTTCATGGTGAGCTCAGGAGCCCAACCTGGGCCAGGTCACCCTAGGGTGCCAGGAGCAGTTAGGAGCCTGGGTATCTGGGATCTGGGCTCAGCTCCTGCAGATATGAGGACTGAGTGGTTGGTGGGGGAGGGGTGGATGTCAGTGAGGGGGAGGCTGGGAGGAGGGTACGTGGGAGAAATATGGGTGGGACAAAGCTGGATTAGTGGGGTGAGAAATGTGGCAAGGGTGGGGGACTTGGGGTTAAACTGGGGGGGGCGTGGAAGTCACTGAGAACCCCCCACCAAGAGGATCATAGACCTGCTCACTGCCCCGCCTCCCAGGTGGCCTGCATGCAATTCATCAACATTGTGGTACATTCAGTGGAGAACATGAACTTCCGCGTCTTCCTGCAGTATGAGTTCACCCACCTGGGCCTGGACCTGTACTTGGAGGTGAGCCCTGCACTCCCCCCAAGGCTTAACCACTTGCTTGCTGCAGAGTATGGCTCAGTGGTTAGCACAGATGCCAGGGTCAGGCAGACCTGGGTTCAAGGTTCAAATCCTGACTCTGCCACTTCCTAGCTCATGTGACCTTAGATAGGTCTCTTCTCTCTAAGCCTCACTTTTCCCATCTGTAAGACAGGAGAATCATAGAAATAATAAAGACTGTAAATGTATAGAGTGGCGCCTGCCGCAAAATAGGCACTCAGACCATGGAGCTGTTGTTGCAGGTGCTAGAACAGGCTCTAGGTGGCCCTCGGTCTGGCTCTGGGAGCACCAGACTCAGATAGGCATACGATGGGGAGCACAGAGATACTGGGCCAAAGCAGGAGCTGGCTCATGCTGTATGGGTCTGGGTCATGGGGGAGTTCCTTGCTCTGGGGAAGATGGGCAGAGGGGCTTGGTACTTTGTGGCTCAGCCTGAGCAAAGAAGTTGTAGCTTTCTTCTGATTTCTTTGTGAGGCGTCCCAGAGGAGCAGGGCCTTTGGGATTGGATTTTTGAAAGCCAGGATCAACAAAAGGTGAAAAGCAGGCTAGGGTGATATGTCCATTCAATGGAATATTATTCAGCCACAAAAAGGAGCAAAGTAGTGATACATGGTAGAACGTGGATGGGCCTTGAAAACATTACGCTATTATGCTCAGTGAAAGAAGCCAGACACATAGGCCATATATTGTACGCTTCCTTTATATGAAATGTCCGGAATAGGTAAGTCCATAGAGACAGAAAGATTGGTGGTTGCCAGGGGCTGGGAGAGGAGAGGATGGGGAGTGACTGCTAACAGGTACAGGGGTTCTTTTTGGGGTGATGAAAATGTTCTGAAATTAGATAGTGGTGATGGTTTGCACAACCTTGTGAATATACTAAACACTACTGAATTGTACGCTTTAAAATAGTGAATTTTATGGTATATGAATTATATCTCAATAAAGAATAAAGAAACAAAAGTGGGCTAGGGCTCAGGCCCCTTTGTCTGGGCTCTGGTGGTGATGGGGGGTACTGGAAAGATCCCTCACACCAGGCCTCAACCTGAACCTTCCATCTGGGGACAGAGGCTTCGGCTCACGGAGAGTGACAAGCTGCAGGTGCAGATTCAGGCCTACTTGGACAATGTTTTTGATGTGGGTGCACTGCTGGAGGACACTGAGACCAAGAATGCTGTGCTGGAGCACGTGGAGGAGCTGCAGGAGCAGGTGGCCCTGGTGAGAGCTGCTCCTGAACTTGGCCCAGCACAGAGTAGGCCCACAGAGCCGCACACGGGTATCAGCCACTGGTTCTAGGTGTGAGCTGGGGGCCCCTGAGTTTCACCTGAATCCTCTGGGTGCCTTTCTCAATGGAGGAATGTTCACTGAGCTCCTCCACGGGGCTGGAGCTCTGAGGAAGGCAGGTCTCCTCCTCTCCAGGTGCTCGGACCCCAGGCCCTGGTTTGGGTGGAATTGGGTGCCTGGGGCCCCTGCCAGCTCAGTCTCCTCTCCAGCTCCCTCCCTCATCAGTGGTGCCTTGGTTTCCCCTCCTGAGAGCACTTCAGTGCTCTCAGTACCTCACCTACTTGGGTTCAAGTGCCAGGCTCGGCTGACCCGCGGCACCCCAGGGCTAAGCACATCTGGAAGCCTCCCCTAGCCCTCCAGGCAGGCATGTCTGGTGCCGCCCCCTCGGTGCCCATGCCAATGCCCGTCGGCGGGTGAGAGCTCACCATGTGCTGGTGCCACAGCTGACAGAGCGGCTTCGGGACGCGGAGAACGAATCCATGGCCAAGATCGCAGAACTGGAAAAGCAGCTAAGCCAGGCCCGAAAGGAGTTGGAGACCCTGCGGGTGAGGTTGGGGGGACGGGGGGTTGGGGGTGGGTGGGCCGGGCCAGGGGTGGGACGGACTTCCAAGAACAGACCGTTTGGGGCTTCTAGGCTTGACACCTCCCTCCACCCCGGCAAGAAAATGGGGGCTCTGTGCCAGGCTTGCCGGTGGTTACTAACCCCCCACCGGGGGCTCGCAGGAGCGCTTCAGCGAATCGACCCCCATGGGCACCTCCAGACGTCCCTCTGAGCCTGAGAAAGTGCCTGCCCCTGCCCCGGCGCGGCCCTCAGCGCTAGAGCTGAAGGTGGAGGAGCTGGAGGAAAAGGGGTTGATCCGTATCCTGAGGGGGCCCGGGGATGCCGTCTCCATCGAGATCCTCCCGGTCGCTGTGGCAACTCCGAGCGGCAGCGATGCCCCCACTCCGAGGGTGCCCATCGGCTCCCCCAGCCCAGGTGTGCAGGGGCTTCAAGCCGGGTGGGGTAGGAATGGCGGAACCGGGACGTGCATGAGGAGCCTGGGGACTTAATCAGGCGGGGAGAGGTGGGAGCGGTAGGTTTGGATTGCGGGCGTGGCTCAGGCAGGTGCGGGTGGGTCGCAATGAGCCCAGTGCGCATGTGTAGGGCGGGGAGGCGGACACACGACCCCTCAACCTAAGAAATTGACACGCCCTTCTCCCCGCCCCCCTCCCCGGTTCTCGCTGGGCTCAGAACTCCCACCTGCAGCAGAGCCGGTTCCCGGAGCAGCAACCCCACCGCCGCCGCTGCCGGGAGACCAGCCGCCCCCACCCCCGCCACCACCGCTGCCTCCGGGCGCTGACGGTTCGGTGCCTCCACCGCCCCCACCGCCTCCGGGAGGTCCCTCTGCTGCTCTTGGAGGGCCTGGCTCAGAGATGGGCCCGGGTGAGTAGACTGCCCAGGGCATGGGGACGAGGCGGGGGTACGGTGGGGGGGTACTCTGGCTTCAGTATCCTCCAGGACCCTCTGTCTGTGGGCCTCCTACTGCCTCCAGTCTGCTCTGTCTGTCCTCACTGGGCCTGGGCCCAGGTTCCTTCCAGCCATAGCACCTACTACTGCCCCAGTGACCACTCCCTTTCTGTCCCAGGAATGAAGGCCAAGAAACCCATCCAGACCAAGTTCAGAATGCCACTCTTAAACTGGGTGGCCCTGAAACCCAATCAGATCACAGGCACTGTCTTCACTGAGCTCAATGACGAGAAGGTGCTGCAGGTGAGTGGTCCTGCCTTGCTGCCAGTGTGGGCACCAGAGAAGGGGGGGACCTGCCTGGATCATGCTGAGCACTGGGGGTGGTCACCTCCTCTACCCCATTTCATGGAGGAGGACATGGAGGCCCAAGAATGGGGGTCAAGCTAAACTGGACTAGTGCATCTCGTAGGCAGTGTGTCCTGACTCCCTTGGAGGCTTTCCCTCCATGCCTGCAGAGGGGCTCATCCCTCCCCTAAGTCTGGCCTCTCTCCTCCTTTCAGGCCCCTCTCCCACCACCTTCCCACAGACAACCAGGGCCTCAGCCCTTCTAATTACACTTTCAGTTTTCCAAAAGGGTTGTGTTCTGTTGCCTCCAGGCCATTGTTCATGCTGTTCCTCTGCCTGGAACGCCCTTCCCTTTCCTCTTTTTAACGCTGGCCAATTTGGCTCTTGCTTCAGCTGAAGCGGCTTGGAGTCTGGGTCCCCTGGATGGGGTGCTGTTCCTGCCCCTCCTTAGTGCTCCATGTGCTTCGCCTGTATCCCCCAGCAAGGTGCATGGTCAGGCTGCGAACTGGTTTGTTTCTCTGCTGGTGGCCTGGTCAGGGCTGGATAGGTGGCTCTAGCACCAAGCACGGAGCTCAGCCAGGAACGCACCAGACCCCAGCCCCGCCCAGCCCCACCTCCTCTTTCTGCACCCTCAGGAGCTGGACATGAGTGACTTTGAGCAGCAGTTCAAGACTAAGTCCCAAGGCCCCAATGTAGACCTTAGCGCCCTCAAGAGTAAGGCAGCCCAGAAAGCCCCCAGCAAAGCCACGCTCATTGAGGCCAACCGGGCCAAGAACCTGGCCATCACCCTGCGCAAGGGCAACCTGGGGGCAGACCGCATCTGCCAGGCCATCGAGACGTGAGTACCTCTGCCCCAGGCTTATAGGCAGCGCAGCCCCTCTGCTAGGCCGGGGTTGTTAGGCAGATAGTAAAAGAGCCCCAACTATGGAACAGAGTCCATCAAGTTTCATACCAATGCTGGTCGGAGAGTAGGGCACGGAACTATGTTCCCATTTTCAGGTTAAGAAAACTGAGGTCATACTGTGAGTCCATGCCCGGATGGAGATGTTCCTTTTGCCTTCTTGCCTCCTTACACTCAGGCCCAGGCATTTACAGCTTGGACGCCGCCACTGATGTATGATTGGGACTCCGGGCTTCCTAGCTCCCAGCTCCCCTTGACTGTTATCTCTTATTCCCTGAAGCTGTTGGCAATAGCAAATGGTTAAGTTCATTTATTCAATCAAGTAAGGGGGTAGGAGTGGTCCTGCTCTCAAGAACTGGTGAGTGTGGAGTGATACCGGCCCCTCCCCTCACAGGTACGACCTACAGACCCTTGGCCTGGACTTCCTGGAGTTGCTGACCCGCTTCCTGCCCACAGAGTATGAACATAGCCTCATCGCCCGTTTTGAGCGGGAGCAGCGACCCATAGAGGAGCTGTCAGAGGAGGACCGTTTCATGCTGCGCTTCAGCCGCATCCCCCGCCTGCCCGAGCGCGTGAACACGCTCACCTTCCTGGGCAACTTCCCAGATACTGCCCAGCTGCTTATGCCGGTGTGCGCGGGCTGGCAGGGCGATGCGGCCTGGGCTGGGACTGGGGAGGAGGCAGCTTGCAGCCTGGTCTCCAAGCGGGCATCTGGGAGTACTTGAGCCTCCTATGGGTTTCCCCCCACTCCCGCCCCAACTTACCATGCCTCTCCCATCCCACCCCCAGCAACTGAATGCCATCATTGCAGCCTCAATGTCCATCAAGTCCTCGGACAAACTCCGCCAGATCCTGGAGGTGAGAGCCTAGGGCAAGTGTCTAGGAGGCGGGGCCCACCCATGATGCCTTGCCTGTTCTGGGTTGTGTGAGAGGGAGACCCAGGCCCTGCCCTGAGTCCCTGGGATGCAACAACTATAAGGTTCCCACTTCTAACATCCAGGCTCATAAGGGCAAAGCTAAGGTGGGGATGGGGGCCACGTTACAACAGCGCACCTCACACCCTGCCTGAGGGTTCATTAGCAGAGCATTGTGTTGTCGGGGAACCAACACAGCCTTGGAGGAGGTGTTGGCAGCAGTTTTGGGTAAGGATAGCAGGTGACAAAATTGGGTGTGCCATGGTGTTGGCTGTGCACATGTGTCAGACACGCATATACATGCGTCACGGACCTGAGGCATCCACGCAGGAGTTCGGTGGGCGCTGAGCGCAGGGCTGGCTCTTTACCACCTTTTCTTCTTGTGCAATTTATACTTTAGGGGGTTTCCTCAGCCCCAACACCTGGCTGAGCTCCCCCCGCCACCCCCACCCCGCCTCTTGCAGATCGTCCTGGCTTTCGGCAACTACATGAACAGCAGCAAGCGTGGAGCAGCCTATGGCTTCCGGCTCCAGAGTCTGGATGCGGTGAGGCGGGGGGTGGCAAGGAGAGGTCCCCTGGCCTGGGGGCTGGGGGATGGCTGGTGGCCTGGGACTTACAGAAGGTCCTCACTGCAGCTGCTGGAGATGAAGTCGACTGACCGCAAGCAGACGCTGCTGCACTACCTGGTGAAGGTCATTGCTGAGAAGTACCCACAGCTCACAGGTTTCCACAGCGACCTGCACTTTCTGGACAAGGCAGGCTCAGGTATGGGGCGGGGGGAGGGGCTCAGCCCTGGGGACGGATACAGGTTGGGAGAAAGCAACAGGACCACAGGAGGTAACTGGACGGGAAGGCTGCCTCTCTGATTCCCTGCTTCTCTACTGCCCCACCTCCCACTCAGTGTCCCTGGACAGCGTGCTGGCCGACGTGCGCTCCCTGCAGCGAGGCCTGGAGTTGACCCAGCGGGAGTTTGTGCGGCAGGATGACTGCGCAGTGCTCAAGGAGTTCCTGAGGGCCAACTCGCCTATCATGGATAAGCTGCTGGCAGACAGCAAGACGGCTCAGGTGGGCTGGGGCTGACCCGGCCCGGGAGGTGGGGAAGCTGGGGTCGGGGGTGAAGGACTACCTAGCTGGGGTTGTGTAGCCAAGGCCTGGAGCACTGTGACCACAGCAGGGAGGCCTTGGGGGGATGGGGCAGGAGGGAGCAGCCATCTGCCTGGAGGAGGAGAGATGAAGTGGCCAGTGTCTTAAGCGGGTACAGAGCAGTGGTCAGGCTCCGAGGGGTCTGTGCTGGTGGGGCTGACAGGCTGTGCCCGCAGGAAGCCTACGAGTCTGTGGTGGAGTACTTCGGAGAGAACCCCAAGACCACGTCCCCCTCCATCTTCTTTTCTCTCTTCAGTCGCTTCATCAAAGCCTATAAGGTGTGTGTGTTTGGTGGGCAGGCTGGGACCCCTGCAGGGCATTGCAGCCTCTCTACCTGGGCAGTGGGAGTGGTAGGGGTTATCTCTGCTGGGGGACGGAATAGGGAAGGGAGGACTCCCCTTACGCAGACCCGCCTTGGCCCCTCAGAAAGCCGAGCAGGAGGTGGAACAGTGGAAGAAAGCAGCAGCTGCCCAGGAGGCAGGCACCGACACCCCGGGGAAAGGGGAGCCTCCAGCACCCAAGGTAGGCAGCTGCCCCTGAGCTTGGTACTAGGATCCAATGATGCTTGGTGTCCTCACCCCAAAGATCTGGCCCTCCTGCACACCCTTATTTTTATGGACTGACCCTGCCCAAGGCCAGGATGCCCTAGTAGCCTGGGGTGGAAATGGGTTCCTTTTCCTCAAGCCAGCTCCTCTTAACCATGGGGGACCAGGCAGATGGTCTAGGGTTTAGTGGCACAGCGGGGGAAGGGGATCCTGGAGTTGGAGCTATATACCCTCGCCCTCCTCCCCAGTCCCCACCCAAGATCCGGCGGCAACAGATGGACCTCATCTCTGAGCTGAAAAGGAAGCAGCAGAAGGAGCCACTCATCTATGAGAGTGACCGTGATGGGGCCATTGAAGATATCATCACAGGTGAGGACTTGGTGGGGCCTGTCCTGTCCTTGGTCTGTCCTATGCTGTCCTCCATCCGCCGCCCAACCCTGGGGGTCTGGCTGCCTCACTGCCTCTTTGCTACTTTTCTTTTTCTCCTTTTCCCTTTCTCTCCCCTCCTCCCTTCCAACCTTCAGTGCTCAAGACGGTGCCCTTCACTGCTCGCACCGGCAAGAGGACGTCCAGGCTCCTCTGTGAGGCCAGCCTGGGAGAGGAGATCCCCCTCTAGCCCCCAGGTACCCAGCGGCCTGGCCTCTGATCCCAGTGGCTGCCCACAGCTCTGGGGGCCCTTGGGGGGACTGAGTCATGCTGCCCTCCCCTGGACCATGCATGGCTGGGCTGTGTTGGAGGGAGGTCTGATAAACAAACAGGCTCCCTACCACGTGCACACAACCTGTGTCCCTAGAGGGGTGAGGCCTGTGCCCTGGAGTGGTGTCCCAACCCTGGGCAGACTTCTGAAAAGGTAAATGTCTCTCCTCTCCGCCTCCAGATCTGCGGAACCAGCCCTACATCCGCACAGACACAGGCCGTCGCAGCGCTCGTCGGCGCCCCCCCGGACCCCCGCTTCAGGTCACCTCCGACCTCTCCCTGTAGCCACTATTTCTGCAGATGGACCGGGAAGCTGGGGGGGGGG